CTGTTTAAACTTTCCGTCGCCTCATTCTGAAAGAAAGAAGTGAAATGTGCCAACGTGACAGCCGTCTTGGTGTGTGGTGCGAGATGGGAGAAGTAGTTCATTGAGCGGTTTCACACAAAAAAAAGTGTTACTTCACAGTTTTACGATACATTTAAATTTTTTTGACTTGCAAAATTATCTTTTAAATTGACAAACATCACATGTGTAATTCGTGGCACAATTCAAACGGGATCTAAAGATAATCTTTCTCTCGCCATTGACTTCAATACATGCTTTTTCCTAAATAAGGTCCCATGGAGCTCCCCCGGAAAGGGAGGGACTTCGCCTCTCTATAGCAGCATGAAGTGATGTCAGGACAGAAAAAAAAGAAAATGCAGGTAACCCTTTGATCTTCAACAAAGCTAACGTGGGGAAAAAAGGTTTATGGTTGTGCTTGACCATATGACGTTCACTTCATTCATATCTAGTTACAATTCTTTCACACAAACTTAAATTGTGGTTGCACTAGGTACTGCAACGTTCAGCATTATCACGTACACACACTTAATCTCAAAACATTGTTCCTATTGTACCATTACCTAAACATGTGGCTGTAAGGATTCAAATGTTGTTGCTGCAATAAGTCAATTGATTGACCTTTTTTTTAAAACTTGGTACATAATAACATTCCTACAGTAGGTATATCTACACAATACAAAATGACTAGCTTGACTGTAGAAAAGCAACACCCTGTAGCAACCAAAAGGCCACAGAATTGATTTCTGGAACGCATCAAGAGACCTTCAACAGTATTGGTCCTTCTCTTGTTTACTCTCCATTTAGCTTGTTAACAAAGAGTGTCAGCTATATACACCGTGTCTGATCCATTGCACTTGCATTCACATCACAGAGTGCTTCCAAACTTGTGAAAACTCACTTTTTGTTGGACCAATTGTGGGAATGTAACTCTCAGGGCTGTGAGAACACTAAGACCCCCCTCAATACCCCACCTGCCCCGGCCTCCACACCGGCACACCGCTGACACCGCTGTAACGTCTGATTCAGGGGCTCTGTGGAACAAAAACCCCCGTCTGAACATCGCGAACACACAGCCGTTATGAAGGAGGGAGCCATGCTTATCCTCTGATCACACTGACACATCCCACAGGTACTAATTACCCAATCTACGCTTGACATTTGGATACCTGCTGTACGATTCACTGAGATAATTGGGACACAACTGAGAGGGGGGTCCAGAGAGTCTGTTTTAGTTGATAAAATGGCTTTTCTCAAAGTAATGCACATCACCAGAAACATGACCTCAGGATGGCCCTCAGTGGGTCCGCACAGGGGGGGAAAAGGCATCTCAGGCAAAACTAGAAGACAATTATTTGAGGGGTTCCTTGAGAAGTGGATAAAAGGCTTACCCATAACCACTGCTGATATTCTTGACCGCACATATTGCGTTTGATCCATTGTGCCATTGTCCGCAGATTTACAGGTCTTTTATCTTCAAAGAGGACCCGTCTGGAGCTGAGGGGAATTTGCCTCAAAATGAACCGTGGAGAAGCCATTCTTGAAATTCAGTCACTTGAATATCAGTCGACCTGTGAAGGAGAAGAAGGTTTTATTGAATAATGATGTGGATGTTTTTGCAGATTTGTTTTTTATGATTAAAAGCAACCATACCCTGCCTCAGGGACTAAGCTTGAAATCTGCAGGTACATTTTTTAACAGAGAAACCACAAAGCTGCTTGTAGTTTCAACATATCGATCGGAAAAAGGTGGTTTGGGGGCTGAAAAGTATTTAACTGACTGTTATTACAGTTGTTAAGTCATTTCCTGCAGCGGTGGTTTATGTCTTTGCAATAACCTCCATGAATGATGTAATGAGAGATTATGATACTTCCTCTCATTTATGATCTGTACCTCTCGCTTTGTTTCAGCACACTTGTGTAAGCCAATATCAGTCCTTACATTCACTAAATAGTTGTACTGGATTTTTGTCTGACATGTTCATCCACGACCAATGATGAATGGAGGCAGTCTTTAAAATGTGCAATTCAATTAGATTTTCTTGGAACATTTCATGGATCTAATTAGTGAGTGATTTTATTGTACATGAATTCCCTGCGCTCGTGTACATGGCTGCACATCCGAAGTCAATCGCAGTATCTCAAAAAAAAGAATAGTATTGATTGACAAACCCTCCTGGAGATGCAACCCTCAAGACACAAACATGTAAACACAGAGAGGGGGGGGGGGGGAGCTCTTCCAATGAGACGAGGTATCTAGATTCACAGTCATAGTACAGTAAAATGTTGCCGTCATTAGATTTTTTTCATTGAATCCTTTTTTTAAATAAGTGGTATTACAATAAATCACATTTTGGATTAATAATGATTTTTCGAATAATAATTTGGAAAAGGTTTTGATGCACTGGCTTCTTTTGGGGCTACTTCTAATTGGGATCCTATAGGTTGAAATATGTTTACATTTCATTTCCACAGTATGATTGCATGAAAGCAGCTCAATTATCCATTTCAATGAGGCCAGTCAATTGACAAAACCGGTGTGCAAAAGCAAACTTTACCAAAAAAATTACAGATTTTTGTAATAAGCAAATGACAAAGTGTGCTTTTGATGTAGCATTGTGCTAACACTAGCATTGTCTTTAGTTGCCTTGACTGCTCCACTTGGATACTTGCAACTATAACTGCATATCAAATATTTAGTATTTAATAATACCGCTGTTAATATTGCATATTGCTTGACTTAAGATTTCTGTCAGCAGTGGACTCAAAATACGAAATTTCATTTAAAACCGGGAATGTTATGGATTCTTTGAAGCAGGTTTAGATATCAAAGAACATGCATGATTTGGGTTAGATTTGTGGTTTAGTATAAATGTGGCCCAATCTGATTTTGTATCATTTTTACATAATGCATCAATACGTATTTACACCTCTACTTCCACTACAAGTATACATGTAAAAATACATGCATACAGACACTACTAACCACACACATCATGCAGTGTGCTCCAATATAGAGAGTCACATGAAACATATTGACAGACTGTCACACACAAGTTAAAAATCCAGAGGCCCTTCTAGTTTTTTTTGTTTTGCTTCTTCTTCACAATGGCCCAGTGTACGAGAAGAGCAACGGTTGCCAACAGAACATATCCAATTGGTCACCGTCATTAAAAAAAGAGGGGCTTAAACAATCTACACTGAAACCGAGTTATTCGAGGCGGAGACAGTGGATGAGCCACTGGTTGATATATCGGGACGTAAAAGTGGGAAACGCAAAGCGAGTTACGAAATAATCTAAAGTGTGAAATGCATCATGCTGTGTCAGACAGGGCCATCATTCATAAGAGGCCAAGTATGAAATTGACCAGAGAAAGATAGCAGAGTGACACATATGTCTTAATTCCCTCAGACATATGTGAACATGTGTAACTGTGTCATCGAATCCCCAAAATGCCACAGGGTGTCATTTATGGTGTCAGAGAGAAGGAGGTAATAGCAGCCTGCTGCCATGAGCTGTCACTCTCCAGAAGAGAACTGACAGCCAAACACATTGTGCTGAAAACACTGCCTGCTGGGTAAGTATACATCACAACAACAGCCTTTCAGATTTGTATTGTTTTGACCACTGTGTAATAAGAGAAGGCTGAAGACCACGGTAATCACATCTGTCTGCATCTGTGTGGAGATCTACAATCACTTAACCTCATACCTCAGAAATTAACATCGAACCATCTGTTCATTTGTTTTGTTTTTGTTGCTGAAAACACATTTTGTCTGTAGGAAAATCTTTCATTATTGATTTCATATTTTATTTGTCACATAGGATGAGTGATTTGAAATGGTGCTATCAAGTCCATTTTTATTTCTTTTTTGTAGCTGCTCCCTAAATGGCCAGTCACATAAAACATAACAAATAATGACACTGTGAAATGTAGCCACACTAGCCGCTCAAATGCTATCTGGGCAAAAGGAGACTATTCAAATATTAGTAAAGGGGAGGATAAAGATTTCCAAGCTAGTTAGCTGGGTTGCTAACAAGGCAGCAAGTTATATAAGGAAGATATATTTTACCATCGACTGCAGCATAGCAACTGTCTGCAAATAAATGCTTATTATGTAAAGCAGTGGTACTCCAACAGCACGGGTTAACTGAAAGTGTTAGCCAATAAACTACAATATCTTCCAGAGACCCCTCGACCATCGTGTGTCAAAGTTCACAGTTGAGCAAAAACATTTTGAGGGGAACATTTGATAATTATATATTTTTAAAAAAAGGATAATTATTCTGTGACCAGGCCTCAACTTGTCTCACTAAGGCTTCACATGTATAAAAAAAACACCAACAGGATGGAGAAGGTGAACAAAACAGGTGATATTATCTGTGTCTACTGACTTTGACGAAACTTTCCATATGAACATGAAGCCGTATGATGATGTCACTAATTTTAACATCCCGTTGATTAATCCTTTTGTCGATTCGGAGCCCAAATTTGCTGCTCCGGATTTAAAAATGCACCCAAGCAATATAAAAGCTGATTGCACATAAAGTCATAGGCTTGGTAATGTTGGAGCGTGTTTATGTGTGTGTGTATGTGTTTGTATGTGTGTGTGTGTGTGTGTAACACTCTGGGTCAAGGAACTTTAGGAATGCCGTGCTGCTCTGTCCTTTTGTGCAGACTTCCTCCTTTGCCAGGACAAGAGCCTTGTTTTTAATCCAGACTGATTTGGTAAACACTGACGTTAAGACCGCTGCAGGCCAGCGTCTAATTCCGTTGTTTTCTCCTCCAAAGAAAATGTGTATTTCTTTGGAGATGTCTTGCAGCAGATGGAAATGTGGGGAGGATATAAATGTAATCTGACTAAGGCTCATGCTTTGATTGGACCCCAGATTAGGATTGCAGCCTAGTATTTTCAATAATTATTCTCTAGTTGAATTAAACGTATCCTCTTAACACGGAAAACATACGCTTGTCGTGCATGTCTGCCCGAACATCTGTAGGCCCGCTGCTTTTAATCTCAAAATATTTATCAAGCAAAGGAGGAGCTCAGCATGGAATACATTCAGTGTACAGTAGCTGCATGTAATCCCCGTTCACAAATACACGCAATATCCTTACATGTCCTCACTTGATCTGTGTTTCTTCTGCTTTCTACTGGGACACAGTACATGATACATATGTTACGGCATCATTTCATCTATCCCAAAGTAAGCCCCCCCTGCCTAAAACAAAACATACTTATGTAAATATTATACCTTGCATTATATCTTGTTATTGTTCATTTATAAATTCAACATGTATATTTTCTACTTTCTTGTTTATTTCTTGTCTTTTAATTTGTATTGTACAATGCCACGTCTTTTTATGCTGCTGCAACACAAACAATTTCCCCAATTGGGATCAATAAAGTTCCATCTTATCTTATCTTATCGACCTGGACAATGGAAAGGTGCCCGGCCCCTCACTGTCTCATATCAACCCTGTATTGTTTTACTGCTTTCTTGTCTCGGAGACAATCCAGCAGACAGAGCTTGTTTGCTAATTGATGGTAAAGTGGCCGGGGCATTCATCCTCGGCCCCTCCGTTTGGAGGTGTGGAGCCCCTCTTCCTGTCGTGAATTAGGACCACTTAACCGTCCCGCTTAAGCCCCATTGTTCCTTTTATCACTGACCATTTTAATAAATCTCAGGTGGTAATCTCCAAGGACACGTGTAAAAACAGCTACCTGCCACAACAAAGGCCTGTCAGCTGACTTTATCTGACGAGTGTTGACAAAGAAGGCAGCTGCCCTGCTGGACATAAGGTCAAGCTTAATACCCCCCCCCCCCCCCCTCTTTTCTGTTCCGCCCAGGAGGAGGAGGAGGAGGAGGAAAGAAAGAAAGAAAGGAGGAAGACAGTCGTTGTATCGCGTCTCCTAACTCAAATGTAAATTGTAAAGTGTTCAATGTATACATGTTTGGAGTTTGATAGGCTGGACAAGCTTACACTGTCTTTTATTCTGTATATTTCTATATTTATAGTGCAAATTCAATGTATATACACTCTATATATATATATATCGTTTATTATTGATATGTATATATTCACTGTTTTTGTGTATCTTCTGTATATTCTTATTTTAAATTTGATTTACCTCTTATTTATGTGCTATGTCCTATCTATGCTGCTGTGATAAAGAACAATTCCCAAATTGGGATCAATAAAGTTTATCTAATCTTATCATGACGTCCTCTTATCACAGTGGAAATGACTGTGTAATTCACTGTGTGTGTGTGTGTGTGTGTGTGTGTGTGTGTGTGTGTGTGTGTGTGTGTGTGTGTGTGTGTGTGTGTGTGTGTGTGTGTGTGTGTGTGTGTGTGTGAGTGCATGGTTTAATAAAGGACACAGCAGAGCAGCAACAAGGCAATGAAATAAGAAGAGAAAGATTAAAAAAGCATATGTTTGAGAAGTCATTAAGAGGGACTCAGAGCCTGCTGTGGACTTGATTTACACTGGGTGCTAAGCTGCTGCTGCTGCTGGGTGTAAATAATGTATTCATTTTTAAAGAGATTTTTCCTCTCTTCCTCCGACTATTAAAAAAAAAAAAATCTCCATCTGGTCAAGTGTGAAGTAGGACAGAGCTAGATTAGAGAATGTTCTGTGTTATCTTATCTGAGCACGGGCTTAATGTCTGCACAATCAATGCGCCTCCAACAAGTGGTTCATTAAAACAGAATGGCAATGTTTAATTCCGTGTATTACAAATGTGCGCCGGCATAAAAACTGACGGGAGAGGAATCAGAGTGGGATATGGATTCACATTACTGTCATGAGAGTGAATCAAACTGGCTGTGAATGGTGTTACTGTGAAGACATGTGTTCGAGATGCATTATAGAGAAATGGAAAATCAAACAGGGATATTTAAGTGAGAGGAATAGAGCTGAGATGATTGGACGATTATTTCATCGACAGAAGATAATAACAGTTTGGTTTAACAATCATGTTTTCAGCTTTTAAGCAGAAATGGTTGTACAGCGTCTTAAATGTCAATAATTTCCCCATTTAACAGTTGTTATGTACTTTTACATTCAAAATATTGTGAGGTTTTGATATAATTTGAAGATACCCCTTTTGGCTTTGAGAATTTGTGTTTTTTAAATATTATATTATTTTTTTGAAGAAGAATTTATTGAAAAAATAATTTGCAGATGAGATGATAATGGCAATAAATAACTTGCCAAATGTAAATGTTGAAATGTGGGACATTATCTATGGAAATGGGTAATTTATTAACTTTTAAATGTGCTTCCCTCTCTATATGCCCTTCAATCGCTTTCTAGCCAAAATGCTGACATATCCTCGCACTGACGTCACTTTTTTAGGCCCCAAGTGTCTTCAGTCCCAGACATCAGGTCAGACTTTTAAAAATAATTGATGCAGACGTTTCTCTATTGATGTTTTTAAAGTCTTTAAAGCTCCCTGTAATGGATCTGTTTGTCAAAAGTATTTTAAAAACACATCTAACTCGCCATCAGCAGTTGTCAGCGTGTCACGGCGGCCGGGCTTTTTACTGCCAATGAACTGCCTCGACACGGGACCCGCTTTATTCAGCGTCCCATCGTTAATCTATGAGAGCATCAGCATCCGGCAGGACAACAGGGACATCCTCTCCTGTCCCGCCATCGCTCACATGGCCTCGGCCCCCCGATGCATCAGCCTCATATCTATAATTCATGAAGGTCCGCTCACACCACTGCCAGAGGAGAGCAGAGGTATAAAGCGGTTCGGTGCCAATAACTCGTCATGCTCAGAATCGCAATAGCTCTTCTCGGTCAATCCATCACGAGGGCGAGGCGAGGCCTGCCATGATATTACCCAAATATTATTAAAACTTCGAACCTCCCGAAACCATAAATTAGGAGCAAATGGCCGGCGATGCCACAGCGCGGGGAGGATGTATGGGCGGCTGAGGCTGGGGAGTAATTACACACTTAAAGAGGAAGCGTGGCTGAGCATTGAAGAGACAATACTGAGGAAAAAGTAGAAAAGGATTTGCAGGAAGGCTCATTATAGTTCCGGTTGTCTGTATTGATGGGGAGGGGGGCTGCTGAGTGAAGATTGCCACTTTGACTTCTTTGGATGTCTGGGAAAAACTGGGTGTGGATGAGTGAATGAGTAATGCGTCTCCTTTCCCGAAACATGTAATGTTCAAATGCCCTGAGGCAAAGCACTACACCCCCGCTAGGAGACAGGAGACAGTCGAGAGCAGAGAGTTGGGGATATCCAGAGCCAGCAATGTTCCCTTTTCTTAAGCAAAGGTTTAAAAAATGTATATTATTCATTTACTAGGTCAGAACAACCTGAATCGGGGACCATTAGCGGAGATGGAGAGACCAAACATCTGTTGTTAAGTGCAAGCAGGCTGCAGTGTGACATGTTTGCAGTTTTGCCCTCTTCAGATGTTTGGCCTACAGTGATCCACTTCAAACACTTGGCTTGTGTTGCTCTCTCTCTCCCGCTCACACTCTTTCTCGCTCTCTCATTTTAATCTTTCTCCGGCTCAGCTGAGCTGCAGGGACTGATACACTCTTCTCCTTGACTCCTGCATTCCTCTCTGTAAGCTGTAACTCTGTTTCTCTGCTTCTGTTTCAACTCTCTCTTACCTCTCCTTTGTGGTTTCTCATTCTGTACTTTCCTCTTCTCCCCTTGCTGTGCTTCTCTCTATGTATTAGCATCTTCGTTGTTGCGTGCTTGGTGATGATGAGATTTAATCCCACATGCTGGATGATCCTCACCTGATAGGCAGATTCCTAAGCAGGTTAACTTGTACGTCTTAAGAGGAAAGGACACGCCGCTTCATTTTTTCTCCTGTTGAATTCAGAGCAACGCAGGCTAATCTGGCATTAAAGTTGAACATTGTGTACATCCATCTAAGTGCTAGTGACAGCTGCAGGGTTAAGGGCTGTTGCTGCACACTATGCAACTCCAGGCATGAGCACTATTCATTTACTTTCACTCTGAAATCAGCAAACTATTTTTGAACTGCAAAAAATGTAGCACTAATACCTAATTAAAACTAAAATACCTCTGTATAGTTATAATATTATAATTTGAGTAAAATGTTCCTTTTTTTACTTTGTCTTATTAAATTCATAAATATTTGTTATTCTATTTTTAAATGTTTTTCATAGGACATATTCATTTAATTTAAATACAACTTAAATTCTATTTTACGAGACATTGTTACGTCTTTTTATTGCATAATACTACCTTAACTTCTTAAATTGACTTGCATTATTTGTCAAGGGGGTGAACTCAGAGGCATGAACTCAAATGCACAACTCAGACTCAGACTCGGGTGGTGTTCAAAAATAAAGACTTTACTGGAATGAACACAGTAACAAAAAACACAAAATCACTCTTCCGAGGAAAAACTAGACGCAATAATCGTGATCACGAGAAAACAGGATATGACCATGGAGCGGGCTTGAACGTGGTCCTGAATGAGAAACGAACTGGCACTGGACAGGTGGGGGCTAACACAATATATACCCAAGGTGAGGGGAACAGGGGGAAACAATCAGGGCGGGGAAACTAATCACGAACACAGGAGACACATAGGGGTGGGGAGCATGGAGTTCTGAAACCAGAGGAGGAACACTTATTACAATAAGACAGAGGGCACAGAACAAAGGGACATGACAAAACTTATATAAAGAATAGCCTTTCATGATAAGTTTCCGAGACATGACATTATTCTTTTCAATTGCTTTTTAATTTACGTTTTATTTATTTTATAATAAAATGGAGCAACTACCACAAAAAAAAAACAATGTCCCGAGGGATAAATAAAGTATTTCTGATTGTGATAAACAAAAGGGGCGGGGCCACCTCCCAGGAGTGGGTGCTGCTCGGTGAGGGTGGGGGTGAGCAGGTAGTGATAATTGACGGGACATCTGTTGAGCTGCAGGTGTCTCTTACTTCACTCACGCAGGTTAACAGATGACTTCACCCAGTGACACAAGGCTGTTTGTAGCAACAGTACAGAGACATATCAGCATTTATCAAGTGTATTACATAGATAACATTACTCATGAGGGAAAATCAGGATCAGGAACTACTTTTTGCACAATTGGGACATCCCATATTGTGTTGATACAGTGAAACAAACACAATGGTCTGTACTAAAGCTAAGCTGTATGTAATCAAGATTCTATATATCAGTTTTACATATTCAGCTTGGGTTGCAGTTATTTTCAAGTTTATTAATTGTCAAAAATAATGATGTTGTAAATAACCGGAAACCAAAAGGGTGTCCTAAAATCCTCCACCCCAAAGCAAATGAAGGCTCCCAAATCAACAACAACCTTAAAAATGTAACCAGAAAATGTATAAATGTATATTAATCTAATCTCTTGGTCAACTTATGATTTTGCTTGCCATTGAGCGCTGCAATAACAGCTTTGCTTATCGGGAATTCATACCACATCAAACGCTGCTCGGTACCTTTTAATAGTTGACAGATTTGACGTAACATCATTGGATGTGTTCATGAACAGACTCACATCTCGTGCCCAGACAAACGGCTCTAATGCCCTCATCATGACTTCAGAGGAAAGGCATCAGTGATCTCTACATGTGAATCAACCTCAACACATACGTTTGCCCACAGAGGGAAAAGAAGAAGACATTATTTTGTTGCAAATACAGCTGGAAGGCAACTTAAAAGGGCCATTAGACTGCTCTTGTAATTGTTGAAAGATAAGAGAACAGAGGAAAAATGCAACCAGGGCAGAGACATGAGAGTGGGGGGAGGAGCATTCTTCAAAGCGATATCAATTTTGCCATTAATCCAATTTGAATTGATTTTCCTCCCACGCACGTTAAAAAACAGATGCTAAAATGCTTTTCTTTGCAGTGTCTCCAAATGTAAAGTAGCAGGGAAAGATAGAGCGAGGGAAAGATAGAGCGAGGAAAAGAGGGAAGGAAAGAGAGACGGAGAGAGTGAGAGCGTGGAGTCCAGCATCTCTTTGATTGCTATCTCGGGGCTATAGAGAGCAATCACTGGCTGGAGCCTTTAGAGCAGCTGATTACAGGCAGACTGCAGACTGACCTGAGACCAGGTAACCTCCTCGTCTGCTGACCATCTCATCTCCTCTTTAGTGGTGACAATCTATTAGACAATGTAGTCCCCTTAATCACAACAATACTCAAGTTTAATTTACATTACTAGTATTTTTCTTGTATTTTTGAGGAAGTTGATACCAATATGTGTGTGTTTATAGGGCTGTACCCGAATATCCGTTCGTTGTACTACTCGGGTTTCAATTTCGTTTTGTTTTTTTGTGGAATTTATTGAAAACTCCAATATCAACGTAAGAGCGTGTGCCTCTTCGGGGGGTGCTAACACTTAACCATAAACGTTATCGTTTACTTTCTCCGTCTTTATATGTAGATATGATATTTTCTCCGTTAATCTCCGNTTTAACATGGGACATTTAATACAACAGACTGCAGGAAAAACAAAAGACAACATAAATACAAATGTACACAATTGGTACACGACCGTCCAGAGGAAACTTTTTCTCTAGACCACCAACTAGAGTTACCCTAAAGGTAGGACCTATGTATTATTTCCCGATGTTTGTTTTGTGTTTTATCAAACCCGTATATTAGTATATTTATGACAAATTAAGAGATATTTTCCCCGGGATTGGTTGAGCCACATATAATTATGAAAACAGTTACTAAGCATATTGGTATGTATCATTCAATAGGTAATTTATTTTCAACATTTTCAAAAGGGAACATACGACAATGTATTCATCGAAAGACTTTTTTCTTTCGTTGTAATTTTAGGACTTTTAAACTTAGTCGGTTCTTTAGTTAATCATGTAGAAATAACGTTTCTCCTGTTGACTGACACCTAATATATAATTGATTTATTGATTTTGTCGGGGACTTCTCTGCAGAATGACCTTCTACAGCCCTGGGGCTTCTGCCGCCGGTCAGTCGCTACAAGGTCGGAAGACGACCTCCCTCCGGTGTCGACACTCACTCCTTTCGCCGTCTCCTTCGCGTCGTCTGGCATCAAATCGTCTCCTTCGACGACGTCGTCCATGAAGTCCAAAGATTTGTCCAGGAAGGAGTAACGACATTAGGACCCCTACAAATTCTCATCTTATAGTAATGTAGTTAGAATAACCGTAAGTTGTATTGAATTAATGACAGTAATTACAATAACTTATCCGACAAATAACTTGATCATGGTTTACGACGTGAAGTACAACCAACGATGTTATCGTCTCGCTGCTTCAGGGAGAGGAAAGGACGCCTCGAGGTACCTGAAATAAAAGCCTTTTCACATCATAATCTCCAGTTACCTCTCTCTTTCTGAATAGAAAGCAAGGCAACTTACACGCTGTTTAATGTAACGTATACTACAAACAGGTTAAATTTTCTATTTTAAACGTTCAGTTTTTTTATATTTTAACACAGCATTTTGACACTGTCATTTGAAGAAAAAACCACACTTTTGCAGTTAGCGTTGATGGAAGCAGGGGCAGAGCGTCGGTAGGTGTGGTTCTGCCGACAGTGCAACCGTGTAAGAGACGGAAAGAAAGTCGCTTACCTCGCTTTTTCAAATGTTCGTCCTACTTTTAGTTGAGGTTCAGACCCGTACGACTCTCGCGACATGTATTGTGTTTTCCCGCCAATCGGAAGCCAAGGCGATTCTCGGTCGTACGCCGCGTCCGAAGGCACTAAACATCAGAAAGATTCAACGCATAGAAAAGTATCAGACTATACAAGTTGTCAAAATGCTGTTTGACATGAAACCAACTGTACTTTAATAACAATTCTGAACCTGCTTTGTAGTATACCATTAGCACCGTGTTGAGTTTGCCGCTAACTTTCTATGCAAAAGAGAGAGGTACTGAGCTAGTCACAATGACAGGTACCATGAGTATCAAATATCATTTCATCCAGCCGAGCTTTAAAATGATGCAGGGGAACCAAAATGCTCAGTTTCAAAATGTTTTGCAGAGTGTTCCAAGCTAGAGGAGCTGCGCACATAAAAGCTTTAGTGCCTAAAATAATCCTAGCACTTAGCACATGTAATAAAAACACATCCTGGGATCTTAGGCAATAGCTACTTGCGACTCTCTGTGAAATCAGAGAGCAGATATAAGCCGGTAGTTTACCCAGCATGGCTTTATATATGAACGTGTACCAATGACTGAGCCTCCGAACAGTAGGTGATGGCAAACCTGCCTTGGCATACAGGGTACAGTGATGAGTAAGTGCTTTACAGTTAGTCACAAATCTCAGCGCACTGTGATAGGTGGCATCTAACTTGATTAGGTAATGGGCTAACTTTATGGGCAGGTATTTGTTTATTAATACAAAACTGTTAATGATTCTATGTGGATTTACAAGAAAGTAAACATGTCTGTATTTATATTATATTAACTCCCTCATCTGTAGCAACAGCCTCTATAAATATATGAAAAGGTATAATCTTTCCAAGGAACTTAGATGTTTATATATGCATTTATTCAGCTTTGGCAGTTGTTAAACATCCAGAGGCAAACATTGTACTAACAACACACTCTTGTTTGCAGTCTGTCAACAGAAGGAGAGGACCTCCGAGACCAGGAGTCTGTCAGCAGAGTTTTGGCCGAGCTGTTAGACAACCAGGAGGGCCTGTTCGACTCGGAGGAAGATGACGTCTCCACCACCAACGACTACAGCTCCATCAACGAACAGGTACCGCTAATCACTTCTGTTTCTAACTGCTGTCACTCATTCAATCTGTCTTATTTGGACAGGATGTCAGTATCCTCTACTAAATCTGGTAATGGCATACTATGCGAAGGATTTTGAGTAAGTATAGGGTGTCCGCGGGGTCTTAAAAAGTATTAAAAGTTGATAAATCTATTTAGCGAAAGTTAAGGCTATTACAAAGTATTAAACAGCATTCTCCAAGGTATTACATTTTGTAGCTTGTTTTCAATAAGTATATCAATTGTCCAAAGAGGTTGTGTTCTACAGTCTGCCTGAATGTAATCATTGCGTAGGTGTGTAGTGTGATTCTGTGTAGTTTATTGATGGCATCCCGTTGGGTTTGACGTCATCTGAACAGGACATCACACGCTCACTGCTTGATAGCGCGCGCAGGCCCGTTTACACCGGTTGTTAAACAACATCGTTATGGGGAAATGCAAGTCTGCGTCCAAATGGTTGGAAGATAAGGAGGAAGGACAATCAATACTGTATAGTCAATGTGAGGTAAAGTGTGTCACCAAGGTAACCGGTTAGAACTCAAAGTGGCGATGAGGTCTTAAAATGTATGGAAAGGGTCTTAAAAAAGGTCTTAAAAGGTTTTACATTTGACTTCAGGATTCCTGCTTATACCCTGAATGTATAGATATCTCCAAATGTGCCAGTATGTAAATGAAAAGAAGGTATGAATGTTTTTTTAGCCGTCAGAGACAAACATTGGTTATTCATTCGAGCCTTTGGTCTTGAGCCTACACATCTCCCCTCCTGCTGTACTGGTCTCCCCTCGGGAATAAATCAAGTATATTCCATCTATTTGTGTGCACCCCGCCCTCTACCCAAAGAGGTCTTTGTATTTGTTCTTTTCCCGCGGTATAGTCAGTGTTTAGATCTAGGGTTTTGCATGATTCATGCCTAGAATCTGGTGATATAATAGATTTACATTTTGCAAAAAAAAGAACTCAATACATTACACCAGGGAACCAAGCATATTCTACACAATGTTCTAAGTCTCTTAGCGTAAAAATAGATATAATTACATGAATTCACTGTCAACATTACTGAAATGATTGTTCAATTACAAAACCTGTCAAAAATCCTCCTCTTCCTCCTCCTCCTACTTCCTATTTAAAGACACTCACATAGCACAATGTTGCATTTATCTCTGCCAATGTTGGGGTTGAAATTGTTTCTAAGGGGGGGTAAAACTGGAAATCTTTCTAAGAAATATGAAAGCCATCACCGTCAGAAAGACACAGCAAAATCACACGTGAACAAGCAGGAATCTAAAAACATAATGACCTGCTTGTCTTTATTACCAAGAATATTATCTCAGAGGAACGATTTTAACGAAAGAAATCTGCTCTGTTTTTCAAAATGATTATCAATGGACGGTACTTAGGTCAACCATACTTGACCTGGTTACATTGGGGGAAACATTGGTATTAAATGATTACATCATACCTAGAAACAAAAATCTCTTCCAGTAAAACAAACCACAGTGAAACGTTCAGGCTGACAAATATTAATTAGCTGCAGAGAGAACTTGTGCTGTCTAGGAATGTAAGTACTCATTTCCTCTGTCTATTGTTGTACATAACAACACATTCTGAAAAGGTTTTACATATTACTTTAGCAAAAGAATCTCCAAGAGCCCCACCCAAACACACACACACACACACACACACACACACACACACACACACACACACACACACACACACACACACACACACACACACACACACACACACACACACACACACACACACACACACACCCGCGCGCGCGCACGCACACACACACACGCACACGCACACATGCGCACACGCACGCACACACACACACGCACACACACACATACGCATACACACACACACACACACACACACACACACACACACACACACACACACACACACACACACACACACACACACACGCACACACCTCTGTCTTCTGTTTTGTAGATGTAATGTAAACAGCCATTCACTCTAAAAATACACCAGGACCGGGCTTACAGAGCATGAACTGATAGAGCAAAACAAAGAAGGTGGCGGTGTGACACAAACATAGCGTGACTGATGTAAATAAAACAAAGAAAATGATAAAAGGATGCAGCACTGTTTTTCTAATGTGTAATTAAAATTGCAACAAGTAATACAGATGTGGATCATAATACCATGTCTTCAACAGAGTGAATGGAAAGTACAACAGGAAAAAAACGTATAATTGCATTAACTGATTTCTTGCCACTTGAGGGCTGTACAATAAGCTGTAAACAAAACAAAAGTTGATGTTGAGCAACAATTTCCTTTGGACACATGGGAAAATACAGTCTTGGATTTATCTTTTTTAGCATTTGGTTGATATTTTGAAAACCTTTTTGCATGAAAAGAATACTGTGAAGTTGGTCTACTTATTTTGTCTATTTTTGTTTGACAAACGATGACATAGTAACCATCAGCATGGCAGACATAACCCATTCACTCTGCTGAACAACAGGCTCAGTCTAACCTCTGTTCTTCCATTTTATTGAATTGTAATAAAGCTAAACTGAGATTTGATTTGGTCCTTTGTTAAAAAATCTTCTGTCTATCTATTCTAAAATCTATTCTGCTATAGGACAAATGTAAACATATAAAATAGGAATGATATTGTCTATATTATTCTCACAGTGTCGTTGTTGGATACTTGAAAAAGCATTTTCATATTTCTTTCATTTGCGAAAAAAGATTTTCTGTAAAACGATGGTCAAAATATTAAGAGAAAGATTTCAAATGTTAAAATATACTATGTTTGGGCATAACTCTTGCTTGATGCAGTTGTCTAATTTCTGATTGGAAATGTGGAAATATTACTGTGGATTTACGATTCCACAGTAAATCTTGTATCCCTTTAACTTTCTATTGTGCCCCCAGGTCAACATGCTGTTACCTGCTGGTCTCAGGTCGTAGCTGTAAACGGTCACTGGATTATCGGAGGAAACTGAGTCGGTCAACACCCAGTGTTGACATTTGGGCTTAGGAGATAAACCTCACAAGGGATCAAACAAAGACTGGCCCTTTTGACTGAAGAGAGGAGTGTGTGTTTGTGTGTGTGCATGCATGTTATTGTGAAGAGGTTTCAGTGTTGCAAGTTTGCTGCCGACAACCTAAAGTGGAAGGACGGTGATATTGTCTGAGGGGTTTGGTTATCTCCATGTCAAATGGCAGAGGAAACCTAAAAGGGCGGTATGCCGGCACACATCTTTTAATGATTTTAACTCCTGCAAAAAGTCGAAACAGGGATATAAATAATAAACATGTGTTCAAAATATTTCAGACTTCACTCAATTCTAAAAATGTTAAGAAAAACACAAATAGATAATTGTCTTGTATTTTACTTTGATGGTAAAATATTTACCGTCAGCTTGTATTTAACTACAATATGTTTTTTTTATAATACGCACAAGATCATTTTCTTTAATATATGTTACATGCAGTAGCTGTAACATGAAGGAGTGGAATGATGCAGGCATGAGGTGAGAGGTTAATACAAATACTGTGGGCTCATGTGACATAGAGCAGGTCAAGGCTTGGCACTTCCTCATGTCTGATGAAATGTCAATCACATTGAAGTACGGGATGGTAAAAGGCATGGCTAAGAAAAAGGGTGAGGAGGAAGGGGAGCATCAGAGGGGTGAGGGAGGGAGGGAATAGTGGGCCACCATTTTAATGTTTCTG